TAACTATCAAAAGTATCCCCAGGTATTGCCAAATGCCCCCCGCCTGGGGAACATCAGCCTGGAGTGACCTTCCTCCCCCTGCCTATCAATCTCCATCTGAAGCCACCTCCCCAGGGAGCCCTTTCCTCTCTCCAAGTTAGAACAGGCCTCTCTCCTCATACGACTCTTTGATCATAATTTTTTTCTCACTGGACTGTCCACTGCTGAGGATAAGAGACCATGACCTCTTCCACCCACTTAGTAATTAGACAGCCTAAGATAGTATCTGGTACATAGCAGACCCTTAGTATGTGTTGGGTGAATGGGGAGTAAGGGTATCTAAGGCCAAATCTGTCTACTCCCAACAAAGACCCTCTTTCAAAAATTCAACCTATCACTTATGGAGGATCTCTAGGCTCTCTGTTATGGCTATGAGAAATCGTCTTATCCCCACTGTAGAGATAAGAAATGGGTTTGAGCAATGCTCAGTGCCTTACCTGTGATACCGCAGTGGGAGAACACAAGGTCCAAGTCTGGGTTTTCTCACCCCGAAGTCCAGGCTGGTTGGGTGTGACTATGGAAATAGATGTCCAGTGCTTTGGTGCAGGGCTCTCCCTGTTCTGATATTTTGTCAATAATATGAAATAAAATGTAAAGAATGGCCAGGTGCGGTGGATCATACCTATAATCCCAGCACTTTGGGAAGCCAGGGCAGGCAGGTCACTTGAGGCCAGGAGTTTGAGACCAGCCTGGGCAACGTGACAAAACCCCGTCTCTACAAAAAATATAAAAATTATCCAGGCATGGTGGTGTGTGCCTGTAATCCCAGCTACTTAGGAGGCTGAGGTGGGAGAATCACTTGAACCCGGGAGAGAGGCAGAGGCTGCAGTGAGCCAAGATCGCACCACTGCACTTCAGTGTGGGGGACAGAGCGACACCCTGGCTCAAAAAAGAAAAGAAAAGAAAGGAAAAGAACATCTGTAAGCCACATGATAGAACGAGAACCTCACCGGGGCCAGTCAAGGCCTGTGGGCTATGTCTGACAGGATGAACTTGTAGAGAAACGAATGTAAACCTGCATTTAAATTTTTAAAAATCCAAACAAGAATAGGAAAGAAGCATTGCATTCTCATATGTGGTACATATGAAACCACCCAACAAACCAACACCCAACTCCAACCCTCTTTCCAGATTCGATGATGTTTGCTATCAAGGAAAAGAAGGATGATGAGATTTCCCACACTTGCGACTTCCCCATGTTTGTTTTGACTCCTGCCTCCCAACTGTCATTAGCAATAAAAACATTAAAATAGTAAAAGACACCAAATAAGAGAAGAACTGCCAGGCGGCCTTCTACTTCAGTCTGGTTGGACAGGAAGCCCAAGAAACAAAGAGGGTGGCTCCCTTAAGATGGAAAAAGAAGAAAAGAGAGCCAGCGTGGTATGCTTCCAGAATCTGCGGAGATCAGAGACTTCCTGAAATATCAATCAAAGCAATCACTGTGCTCTCTGGAAAGAAAACAGCTATAATGGAAATGCTGGGAGCTGAAGCAGTGAAAGCTAAGGGAATTTATCAGTAGGCAGGGATCCAGATTTACACATCTTGATTTGACACTAGTTTTAGAATAGGTACCAAAAAAAAAAAAAAAGAATCCTGAAGGGGCTTTTCTAAGAAATTTTTTCTTTACTCTGAATAGACAAGCATTGTTTCAAAAAAAGAAATCTGCTTTTAAAAGTCAACAAAGCATACAGTGCATCTATTATATTACCAGTGAAGCACTATAAGAACATAAATAAGAGAAAGTTGGTCTTTGCCACTAAAGAGAGCTATAAATTATTACTGTTGTTTTGGGACCATTTAAGAAATATTTGAAGGCTGCATGTGGTGGCTCATACCTGTAATCCTAGCATTTTGGGAGGTTGGGGAGGGTGGATAACTTGAGGTCAGGAGTTTGAGACCAGCCTGGCCAACATGGTGAAACCCCGTCTCTACTAAAAATACAAAAATTAGCCAGGTGAGCTGGTGCATGCCTGTAATCCCAGCTACTCGGGAGGCTGAGGCTGGAGGATCACTTGAACCTGAGAGGTGGAGGTTGCAGTGAGCTGAGATGGGGCCACTGCACTCCAGCAGAGCAAGACTCCATCTCAAAAAAAAAAAAAAAAAGAAAAAGAAATATTTGAAACACAGCACTTTATTTCTTGATATACTTCAACCACCAGAAGTTACAATTACTAACTTACAACTCTACACAGGTCTGCCCCAAAAAGTGAGTCCAGAGAATCAAATTCCTCCCAGTGTGGATCTGGTCATTCTGTTCTCTGAACCTGGTTAACGCTGTACTGCAATTCTATGAAATGGTCCCCAAGTCAAACAGAAGCCACATAAAAGATGATCTGGTCACTTTGATTTCATTTTAAGGTAAAGGAGGATACAAAGTACACTACTTAAAAATCATTGATTAAGAAGGCAATATGACATTTTCATGCTAGTTTGTATAATAATTTTACTGCGTAAGAAATTATATAGAGATTGCATAAATCATTCGGTAAACAGCATACAAAGAAAAATACATTGTTTGGATGAAATAAAACAGCAGGAACAACTCAGTTCCTAAAATACCAAATATTCTCCGAATGTGCCTCCATTTGAGAGAAAATTTTGCATTTTCTGGATAGAGCAATGTCTGTAGTTTCATTAAGTAGAATGGAAAATGGCTTTACAGTTAAAAACAGTAAAAAGCAGCTTACACAGATGTGTTGCTCTCTTAACCCTGGATGTAACAAAAGTAAAGATGTGAGGCTGCCTGCTCTTGCCTTAAGTGGGGCTTCAACTTTCTATTGATAGTAACTGTCTATGTAAAATATTATATATAACCTCCTATATATTGAAATTGCACAAGTCAGAGCATCCAAAAACTACTGCAAGAGTCAATTTCTTCCTATGGGGAAAAGCAAATACATATACTGTTAAAATTTCCATTCCTCATTCAATTATCTGCCCTATTCAAAACATAAAAGTACAAATAAATATTTCCTTACAAACGAAGTTCACAGTATATTGTTTAAAAAAAGGGATAAAAAACAAGAATCTTAATTTGTTTTGTCATTAAATAAAAATGCTAATATACAGACATGTTCATTATTTACACAAACTGTAGGAGTCAGTCTGTCCTTTCTCTGCCGTAACTGAAGTTTAGTAGTGCTGGTCCATACATGACGAGGCTCAGATCCTAAATGTATGTTCAATTCTACTAAAAGTTGCTCAAGATAATTTTTTCTCTTTTTCTGTTTAATTAAAAAAAGACGACTTTTTGGAATTTTAGAATTACATTTGAGTTGTCTGAAAAAATACAATTTCAATGCAAAAGTCACATCAAGCATTCAAGAGTATGTTGCTGGTGCTGTAATCTTTTTGCATGTCTTTGTTTTCATAGAAACATCAATAAAATAAATAACATGCCTAAGACTTTAAAATGGTTAAATGTAACCACATACTATTAATGATATGCCTCATGCACACACACGCTCAAACTCAAAACACGAAGGAAAAAGGATCAGACATCTTTCTTTTGCATTTGTTCTAGCTTTCTTCTTAGCAGACCATAATTCTCCTTAGTTCCTGGTGCCGTGGGGTCAAGCTGCAGGGAAATTTCATAGTGTTTCTTGGCCAAGTCTAGATGTCCCCAGCGATGATAAAGCACAGCTGAAATAGCAGGAGATGAATTTCACTGGGAATGCTTCTGAGTAATGTGCCATATTCCTATCCTCTTGGACAAAGAAATATTACAGATCCTCTGTAAACAGTTTTCAAAAGTCAATTGTATAAAACAATATTGTTTGTACTGAAACCTTATTTACTGTAATCACACTCCCTGGTGATTATCCATTTAACTACTGCCAGTTACTCCTGGGGCTCTTCAGAGCACTAGATAAGGTACATCTGCCTACAGTCACATTATTACATAAAGAAGTAAAAAGAAGAGTACATTCAATGTCTCAGTGCTGCCGTGAAAGTTCCAGGAAGCCAGGCTGGGTGTGGGCGGAGGGGTGATGGATGCTAGGTACTGCCTGCCTGACTATGCAGAAGTTCAGATGTTTATTTTAAAGAGATATTTCCCTACATCATTGGTGAAGTGACAGCTTTTTGGGGCCAGTTGGAAATAAGGTCTAATATCAAGAGCTGACCCTAAAATGATAGTTACAATAAACCTAATCATTTGGATGATTAGCCTCTGATCATTACAGTGATTTTGTTAGTAAAACTAACTTTCCATATGGGCAGAAGATCACTTGTGGATGCTTTCTGACTTTTGTGAAGAGAAGCTTCAGTCAGAGTTGGTAGAGAACAGCTTTGGTGCAAAACATTTCTGTGACTGAGCATTCTAACATCAACATGCTATGTTCTAAACATCTTAACCATGGAGATGCAAAAATGCAAGAAATGAATTCTAGGGAATAAATGATTATAAATGCATGTTAGCCAAGGCATAAGGGGCTATAAGAAATACCAGGCTAGAAGGGGAAGGTCTACTCTGTAAGAAGGAAGGAAAAGGAGGTAAGTTCAATGGCAAGTTCCAAAGCACCTATGATTAATTTAGTAGGAGAACTCTTCCTAACCATAGCCTCGTTCTCTTAAGCCAATCTCATCTTTCTCAGTTTAACACAAAGAAGGACAATCTGAGTTTACTCATGAGAAGGTGATAAACAGAGTGGGCAACTTTTCGGCTGTTCTGGTCATGTGATTAAGATTTGAAAGTGTGGTTGTCACTTTGCTATCTTTCTAATGTAATAACAGAACCAAATTTTAAAGCCAGGGTAGCTTTGAAAAAAACTACTGTCCCAACTTTAATTTTATAGACATGCACCCACTTGATTAAAGTAACAAAGAATTTCAACGATTCAAGTTGAACATTTTTCTTACCCAAATTACCATGGTAACTTGCAGTATTTGGATTCGCTTTAATTGCCTTGAGGAATAAAGCTTCAGATTCCTAAAAAAATGAAAAACATAAAAAGGAAGCTCTTTGTTGTACATGAAGCCCAAGCGGTTCCCAGTTTTATCACCTACGGTTTCCAAACTTCTCTTTTTGTATCACTGCATTCCTCCAGAAATATTCAGAAGGGCAGCAGGAGGGAGTGGTGGCTGCAGAGAGGGGATGGACATGCTCGTCAGTGCCACCACCTGCCTCCCTGCAGTGGTTGGACTTCTGCAGCGTTATGCAAGTCACCCAGGGCAGGGTGTGTGAGGATGACAGGAGGCCTGGGGAACAGGAGAGGGCTGAGTCCTGGAGCACACCCACACCAATGCCACTTCCAGCCAGTACCAGGAAACTGACTTCTAGAGCTCTCGGGGTAGGAGTCGAGGGCCATTTCCTCTCCCCCAAGAACCTACAACATGCTGGGCAGCCCAGAAGCAGCCCCATTCATCTGGAAAGAATGAGCAGAAAATGAGGAAGGAATGGCCACCTGTCATCTACATTGTTGCAGTACCGGACATGACCATGACCAAATGCCCCTGATGGGTGTGAATTGATTCTTGAGCGGCCTTGCATTTCTTCCAAGTCATACTCACTTCCAACCTGGCTACTAAGAAGCAGGGCAGTGTCTTCCTACCCTGATCACTGCTAAAAACTGTTGGCTGGCTGGTCCCTTTCTACCATAATGCTGAGAAATAAAGATGCCTATCTGTTTTTATTGACATGTGCCCTGGGGCGGGGGTGGCGGGGCACTGTTCACTCCACCCACCTACACATTCCTAAAGGGAAGCATGTTTTAATCAATATCACATGCTGGGCGTGGTGGCTTATGCCTGAAATCCCAATCCTTTGGATGGTCAAGGTGGGCAGATCACTTGAAGCCAGGAGTTTTGAGACCAGTCTGGCCAATACAGTGAGAAACCCCATCCCTACTAAAAATACAAAAAAAAGCCAGGCGTGATGGTGCAGGCCTTTAATCTCAGCTACTCAGGAGGCCGAGGCAGGAGAATCACTTGAACGGGGAGGCAGAGGCTGCAGTAAGCCAAGATTGCATCACTGTACTCCACCTGGGCGACAGAGCAAGACTCAAAAAAAAAAAAAGAAAATCAGTATCACACACTGAGCTTAACCAACCAAATCTGTTGGCGTGGGGAGTTTTTGTGCCTTCTATCTGGGTCACACATGAATTTCTCCAGGTGGGCTTCCCAAATCTGGGACTGTGCATTTTATAATGTGCAAGACCACCAGTTCCTTTGCCCCATTGTGGCCCATCATACTCCTGAGAAATCGGCTGGGAATGTGGGTGACCATCTCCAAAACCATGACCTTTTAGACAGAGCTGGCAGAGAAACACTTGTATTTCAGAAATGTCATCCAAGAGGGACTCAAGACATCAGGACAACATATGGGGTGTCAGTCCAAAGTCAGTGTCTACATTCCAAGTTTCAGGGGCTGAAACTCCTTCCAAGAGGGTCAGACTCCAGCTGTATCAGGAAGGCTGCAGAAAAAACGTCAAATGGATTGTGTAGTTTTTGCAGTGGTTTCTGAGTCACTAGGCTGTCTCTGATGATTTTCAAACATTTCCATTTAAAACCTAAAACTTGAGACAGAGAAAGGTCAGGGAACCACATCTACTTAAAAATGCTTCCCTACCTGTAAATGAAGAAGTATTAATTAGAGAGAAATGGTTAGGGATACAGTTAGGAGGTTTCTAGGGTTGCTAAATTCATGTATTAATTCAGCTGACTTCTCAGACGGCCTGTGAGGGCAAACATCATTCAGGACGTCAAGGAGATAGTGGTTTGGGGGACACAGTGGTGTGGAAGACAGGGAAGGGCTCAGAGTTGACTGTTAGAGGGTCACTGCTCTCAGCAGGGTGGGGCCCAAACTCTGCAGGAGGCCAGTGTGAAGGAACCGGGATGAGGAAGAACAGAGAGCACTGGGCCAGGGGACAAGGGAGGAACATGAGTCAAGATTTCCAAGTCAGGGCAACAGAAACACACCACTACATGGACAAAAGAAGGTGTGTCAGGAGGAAGAGCTGGTTTGAGGGGAGGTGAAGGGTGGCCTGGCTCTCTCCAGGTCACGGGGGCAGCCCCTGGGCCTGTACCTGGGCCTGGGAGCAGGGATTGGAGGGGCCTCTTTAGAACGCAGCACCTGTGAGTATTCAAAGCCCATGAAATGTTCATCTATTAAATCAGGCTTTTCAATGGCCCAATCCAGGAAAGCAGTGAACTGTTTATAAATCGATCTGTGGAGGTCTCTAGATGTGTAAAGACCCAGGCAATGAGCTGATTTATGCCAATGAACAAATAAACCCACCTTAGAGTCAGGGATTTTTTTTTCTCAGCATAAAGGGGAAAAATAATGTATTATTTTCAGAAGTGTATTAGACAAAATGTATTCAACAAAGGTGTGGGACTGAGAAAAGCCTTGCAAATTGTGCCTCTAGGTAGAAACAAGCGCCAGTCTCTATGTCCGGGCGAGGAAGCCGGGTGGGTGAAGGTCATTTTAGCCACAGCCGCCACCCAAGAGTGCTCTGGGGCACAGGGGCCGCTGTGCCTCTGCTAGAATAGGAAGGGTAACACGGGTGACCTGATGTGAAGTTGAAACCGTGAATCACACAGGAAGAGAGTTATTCTCTATTCTCCTTTCTTCCTTCTGATTGCATCGGGGCTGAAGTCTGCACTGGGTGGTGGTGTGTGGGTCCCACCCTCTAACACACCTGCCAATCTCTCCTTGAAGCTGAGAGAGGCTGATCCTCTGACTTAGAGCCTTGGCCAGCAATAGTATCTGGCTGGGACTTAGTATGATTATTTCACTTTCAGTTACCCTGTATTTATAGTAATGATGCAATGTTTCTCTTTTAAATATAATCATGTTAAAAATCTATTTAAATAAAAATATCAAGTAAATAAGTAAGGTAACATCTAGATGTGTCAAAAAATAAAAAATCATAAAGGTGTGACATAAATGTCTGAAGTTTGGGAAACTGACTCTATCAACATAAGCGGCTCTTAAGCTACAGGCCCATTGGAATTACCACTTCAGAAAAAGAAATCAGCACAGGAAGCAATGCTGTAAGCACTGAAAAACATTCCTTTTCTATTTTTGCTTTACCACATTAGCCTGAAATTGGAAATTAAATGGCAAGAAGTAATATAAATTCAAATACATTTTAACGATACCTAGAGAGTCACTGAACGATCATTAAATTTAAAAATACATATGTACGTGTATATATATGTATATGCATATGAACCACTGAGAGTTGCAAATTATGTTTTTGTATCACCCTGTCAAGAGGTTGGGCAGATCACGATCTCCATTTTACAAATGAACAAACTGAGGCCCAGAGAGGCTAAGTGACTGCAGTTAGGTTTTAAAAAGGACTGCTCAGATGGGATTAAATGGTGTCTAGGGCTGGGCGCAGTGGCTCACGCCCGTAATCCTGGCACTTTCGGAGGGTGAGGCAGGTGGATCATGAGGTCAAGAGATGGAGACCATCCTGGCTAACATGGTGAAACCCCATCTCTACTTAAAAAATATAAAAAACTAGCTGGGTGTGGTGGCATGCATCTGTAGTCCCAGCTACTCAGGAGGCTAAGGCAGAAGAATCGCTTGAACCTGGGAGGTGGAGCTTCCAGTGAGCCAAGATCCTGTCACTGTACTTCAGCCTGAGCAACAGACAGAGTGAGACTCCTCAAAAAAAAAAAAAAGGTGCCTAGAACCACAGATATAATGAGAACACCGACTCTGCACATCAACATCTCAAAACAGGTTCTGGAAGCCTGAACATTTCAGGGCCAAATGAGAGATGCATTTGATCATTTTACAACTACTTAACTGGGTGCTTCGTAACTGCCCGACAGCAATGGAGATACCAAACCAGGACTGAAGGCTCAGCTCCAACCTCAAGAAGCCTCCAGGCTTTCTAAGAGATTTACCAAGTGCATAATATATAAAACAGCAAGAGCATGGGTAAAAAGTAAGTTTTTGGGCAGCAGACAACTGCCCTGCCGTCAAGATAGCTGGGCTGGGGGCCCTACAACTCACTGCCACATCCCTCTTCTCTGGAACATCCTGTCCAGTGCCCTGCCAGGAAACAGGCCCTTTCACTACATCCTGAAACAAGCACTGCCAGAGATGCAGCTGACCATTAGCAACCGGTATCGTTTTTGCATATGAGAGGAAAACCTAAATAGTTGTTTAAAATTCAAACCCTTAATTAAAAAAATACATTGAACGCTTGCTTGGTGGCTGATGCCATGGCTCAGGAAGTCACATCAGGTCCCCACACTTGGTAGCTGCTGAAGAGATCATCGTGAGTTCTGTGTTGCAGATTTCATCATCTGTTTCCTTATCTTAGGCCTAGTGCCTTGGCCTTGATAATTAAAATGCAAAATATGTAGAGAAAGAGGAAGCTGATTTCTCCATTCTGCTTTATAGAGTATTTTCTACTTTATTTGAAGGGGGAAAAGAAAGAACAATGTGAAGTGGAAGCCAAATGAACTCTGGTTTCTATCTCCTTAACAGAAATTCCAGCAGTTTACAGACTATGGGATAATAGAAAAATCAATACAATGATTACATAAGCCAAGCTTCAAGAAGACTCGCTGTAGCTGGGTCACTGGAGGAGAACTGAGACTTGGGACCTGTCCCAGGCTGACAGATGGCTGGAAAGGTCATTACAAGGGAAACCTATAAACCTCCCCTCCTTCCCCTGCTACACAAGTAGATTCATAAAAAATAGAACTAAACCCTCTTCAAAAAGCTATTTCTGGAGCAAAATCTAGAAATTTAAAACATGTATATAGTGAAGCTATTCAACTCCCCGACATTGTAAAACTACAGAAATGCATGAAATTATCTTACTATTATCGAAAATTATACTGATAACATGTATAAACAGAAAAAGAGAAGTGAATAACAAATTGAGGGCCAAATGAGGGATGCATTCCATCATCTTACAATTACTTAACTACTTAAAAGCTATTAGCTAGCGCTGCCTTTAGGACTTACACACAGGCTAAGTGATCGAAATAAGATATAGCCCCTGATTCTGAAAGAAATTATTTCTCTTAAGAAAGGACTAAAGCACTGCTTCTGTGGTATCTGTGTTCAACACCCAGGATGCTAGCTAAAAATGCTGTTTCCTGATCTGACCTAACCCACGAAGACAATCCCTTGCAGGGAGAACCTGGGCATCTCTGCTTTAACAAGCTCCTTCAGTGTCTAATAGACAAAGTTTACAACCAGTTCCCTTCAACACACAGGGAGTTATGCACAGCCTATTCCTGCTCTACCTTGGCTGCCAACTGGAGCAAGATTTAGTATCTTGTGGTTTTTGTTGGTCAGAAAACTGTGGGCCTTGATGATGGCCTGTATAACTCAGATAAAGAAAACTCTGGAAGCAGCAAGAACTAGTCATGCATTCTCCATGGGCCGGTTATTCTTTTGTGCAGAAGACAGACTCTGCAGATAAAACCCAGAGCTCCAGCCCACGTGCAAGTGATAGAGGCTAACCCCGTTGTGCCAGGGCAGGGGTACCTCTGGGGATGCACCGTGGCTGCCTAGAATCCTCCTGCACCAGCCTGCCAGGCCACTGACTTCAGCCATTCCACAGCTCCCTGCCTGCTCTGCCCTTTTCCTTGGGCCCCTCTCCCTCTCTCCACGTGTGAACAACGGTGGTTAATTCTGATGAGAAAGGACACTGGGTTTGGCCCCATATCCCTGTCTTTGAAGCAACTTTTCTAGGGAACAAACTGGCCAAGCCACACTGGTGCACCGCTGCCACTGTTTTGGCCTGATTCCGAATTTAACTGGGCAGAAGTAACACTTACGGCTTCTGTCAGATGCTGGCATTAACTGCAAGAAATCACAGCCTGCGGTTTACGCACCTTGTATTTCTGGGATTTCCCCAGCACGTTTGCCAACGAGAACATGAGAGAGTGATCATTAGGTATTAATCCCAGTGCCTCTCTTCCAACTGCTTCAGCTTGGGCTAAATTACCTGGGAGGAAAAAATGGAAAAATAAAAGACATGTTAATGCTGTACTTGCATTTTAACCTCTATAACTAACAGGGCTTATGTGCACAGCACATGACAATTATGAATAAACTACTTAAGAAAATCTGTGTAGATCATGTAATACAAACACACACACACACACACACACACACACAATGTGCAACCCTATCAGTGGCAAAGTCACTGAATTCAGTACATTTCTGACACAACACAAACAGCTTTTGATTAACTTCTATAAAACCATCTAAAACCTAGTTTTAATTTTCCCCAGATACTAGTTATACCTAAACAAATCTGCAAAATAAGAGGATTACAGCAACACTTTCATAACTGAGAATTTATCACACTGAAGTAAAAAAATACATCTGTATTTTCCCTAGAAGCACATATTTCTGCTCTACACCATGTAGATGATCAAATTAACACTATCATTAAAATATTTTTATTGACACATAATTGTACATATTGATGGGAAACATATTTTGATATATGCATACAATGTGTAGTGAACAAATCAGGGTATTTAAGACATCCATCACATCAAATATTGATCATTTCTTTATGTTAGGAACGTTTCAAATCTTCTAGCACTTTTGAAATATATCTTAAAGTCACCCTACCATGCAATGGAACACTAGAACTTACGCCTTCTATCTGTGTTCATTCCCATTAACCCACCTGTATTTATCCCTGCCCCCTTCCCACCCCTAGTAACTATTGTTGTAGTCTGTAGCTCCACGAGGTCCATTTTTCCAGATACCCCATGAGTGAGAGCATGTGATATTTGCCTTTCTGTGCCTAATGCCATCATTTCTTAAAGAACGTTTGGATTTTTAAAGTGAGGGAGGCAGAGTAACTCCTAATTGATTGAATCTGGTCTGCTAAGGAATAAGAAACTAGATCTTCAAGTCGATTAGCATCATATAAAAAGAATCCCACTTTGAGACGCTGAGGCTGGCAGATCGTGAGGTCAGGAGTTCGAGACCAGCCTGACCAACATGGTAAAATCCCGTCTCTCCTAAAAATACCAAAATTAGCCAGGCGTGGTGGTGTATGCCTGTAATCTCAGCTACTCAGGAGGCTGAGGCAGGAGAATTGCTTGAACCCAGAAGGTGGAGGTTGCAGTCAGTCAAGATCACACCACTGCACTCCAGTCTAGGTGACAGAGTGAGACTCCATCTCAAAAAAAAAAGAAAGGTAAGAATCCATGGCTCTGAGTGTAGACTAAGAGGGCTCCCTTGAGTGAAATCCATGAACTTAGGGTATGGACCTAGCACCAACCATTTCATTAGCCCTAAGGTCATTCTTGCTCACTTCTAGGTGCTCCCAGTACCCCAGAGGATGGCCACTGGTGGAAAAGATACCGTCACACCTCTCCCTCAGTACTCAACACCAGTTCTATGTGGAGTGTCACTTTCCCAGACATTCACATTCTAGTATGTCCAAAGAAATTCAATTTTCTTTTTTTCTGAGATGGAGTTTCACTCGTTGCCCAGGGTGGAGTGCAACGGCATGGTCTCAGCTCATTGCAACCTCTGCCTCCTGCGTTCAAGTGATTCTCCTGCCTCAGGCTTCCAAGTAGCTGAGATTACAGGCATGCACCACCATGCACGGCTAATTTTTTGTAGTAGAGATGAGGTTTCACCATGTTAGCCAGGACGGCCTTGATTTCCTGACCCCAGCTGATCTGCCCATCTCCGCCTCCCAAAGTGCTGAGATTATAGGCATGAGCTACTGCGCCCAGCCCCAGAAATTCAGTTTTCTCGAAGAAAAGACATTTTTGTAATAGAAAATATTTAACTTCATATTAGTTTTTTTAAATTAGGGAGGAATAAAGCACAACAGTCTCTGTTTCCTAAGTCTTCAGCGGTACTTGACTATGGAGCCTCTCCTGTGACTTCTGTACCTGTATTGTCGAGGAGTATTATCATGTTGTTCCAGGCAAGGCTGTGCTCTGGTTTCAGCACGGTGGCATTTCTCCACGCATTCAAGGCATCCACATGGCGATTGAGATCTGCATACTGAAAATCACACACATCAAAAAAATCAATATTCCAAGATCCCTGCTTCCTCTTTCTAAGACATTATTAAAGAAAAAAAAAAAAAAAAAGAAAAAGCCCAACACACAAAAATAAAAAACCAACCTAACTTTAATTTATGGAGCTTGTAGTTTTTCATATCAACTCATTTAATCCTCAAAACAATACCAATGAAGTAGATATTATCGTTATCCCCATTTTACAGATGAAGCAACTAAGACAGGAGGAAATGAACGAGCCCAAAGTTACAGATTAGAAATGGTAAAGCAGGAGTAAGAACAAGGTCCAAACGCATAAAGTCCTATTTCCCGTTACTTAGTTATTTTAGGAATCAACTCATATTTCAGATTGCTGAAATGCTGAAAAACATCGAATCATTAGTCTTTCTCACAAAAGACTTCATAAGTTCATTGTTGATAAAGTATTACTTAGAATAGCAAACAAAATATTTCACATGATCAAAAGCTATGTGTCCAATTCACCTTGTGAAGGGTGGTCTCGGGGTCTCTTCCTGCCTGTGTCTAAAGTAAATATAAAAACAACAGCATATCAGACATACTTTTTAAAAAGTCTCCTAAGGTAAGGTAAAACCTCTTGGTAATTTCAAGTCTGTTTGCTTCATTTAGAAAGCAGAAAAATACCTGTTGCTTTATTTTTTATAATTTCAACTTTTAAAAAACGTTTATATATTTATTTATTTTGAAACAGAGTCTTGCTCTGTTGCCCAGGCTGGAGTCCAGTGGCACGATCTTGGCTCACTGCAACCTCTGCCCCCCAAGTTTGAACAATTCTTGTGCTTCAGCCTCCTGAATAGCTGGGATCACAGACGTTGTGTTACCATGCCTGGCTGATTTTTGTATTTTTAGCAGAGATGAAGTTTCACGATATTGCCCAGGCTGGTTTCAAATTCCTGGCCTCAACTGATCTGCCCACCTTGGCCTCCACCAGTGCTGGGATCACAAGTGTGAACCACCACATTCGACCTTCAACTTTTATTTTAGATTCAGAATGTATATGTGCAGGTTTGTCACATGGGTAAATTGGGTGATGCTGAGGTTTGGGACATGAATGATCCTGTCATCCAGATAGTGAGCATAGTACCCAATAGTTAGTGTTTCAATCCTAGTTGGCCTCTCTGCCTTCCCACTCTCATGGTCCCAAGTGTCTATGGTTGTCATCTTTATGTCCATGAGTACCCAATGTTTAGCGCTCACTTATGAGAACAGGCAGCATTTGGCTTTCTGTTCCTGCATTTATTTGCCTAAGATAGTGGCATCCATGTTGCTGCAAAGGACATGATTTCATTCTTTTTTATGGCTGCATGGTATTACATGGGGGATATGTACCACATTTTCTTCTTCCAGTCTACAGTGGAGGGCACCTAGGTTGATTCGGTGTCTTTGCTATTGTGAGTAGTGCTGTGATGAACATAAGAATGCATGTGTCTTTTTTTTTTTTTAAAGACAGTCTCGCTCTGTTGCTCAGGCTGGAGTGCAGTGGTGCAATCTTGGCTCACTGCAACCTCCACCTCCCGGGTTCAAGCAATTCTCTGCCTCAGCCTCCTGAATAGCTGGGATTACAGGGAGCCCCCCCACCCCACGCCTGGCTAATTTTAGTATTTTTAGTAGATATGGGCTTTTACCATCTTGGCCAAGGTGGTCTTGAACTCCTGACCTCATGATCCACCTGCCTTGGTCTCCCAAAGTGCTGCGATTACAGGTGTGAGCCTGGCAACATGTGTGTTTTTTGTGGAATGATTTCTTTTGGACATATAACCAGTCGTGAGACTGCTGGGTGGAATGGCAGTTTTAAGTTCTTTGAGAAATCTCTAAACTGCTTTTCATAGTGTCTGAATCATATACAGTGTCTAAGCATTCCTTTTTCTCCCACAGCCTTGCCAGTAACTGTTGTTTTTTCACTTTTTGATAATGGCCACTGGTGTGAAATGTATCTCAATTGTGGTTTTGATTTGCATTTCTCGAATGATTAGAGATGATGAGCATTTTCTCATGTTTGTTGGCTGCTTGTATGCCTTCTTTTGAGAAGTGTCTGGTCATGCCTTTTGCCCACTTTTTAATGATGTTGTTTTTTGCTTGTTGATTTCTTACTTACAGATCTGGATATTAGACTTTTGTTGGATGCATAGTTTATGAATATTCTCTCCCATTCTGTAGGTCGTCTGTTTACTCTCTTGATAGTTTCTTTTGCTGTGCAGAAACCTTTTGGTTTAATTAGGTCCCACTTGTCAATTTTTGTTTTCATTGCAATTGCTTCTGAGGACTTAGTCATCAATTCTTTCCCAGGGATGATATCTAGAATAGTGTTTCCTAGGTTTTCTTCTAGTATTTTCCAAAGTGCTGGGATTACAGGTGTGAGCCACTGTACTCAGCCTCTCCTAGGATTCCTGTAGTTTGAGGTCTTACATTTAAATTTTTAATCTATCTTGAGTTAATTTTTCACTCTTTTGTGTATGGCTGGCCAGCTATCCCAGCACTATTTATTGACTAGGAAGCCCTTTCCCCATTGCTTTAAAAAAAATTTGGTTGAGGACCACATGGCTGTTGGTGTGTGGCTTTATTTCTGGGTTCTTTATTCTGCTACACTCTACTTTGGGTCTGTTTTTGCACCAGTACCATACTGTTTTGGTTAGTGTAGCCTTAAAATATAGTTTAAAGTCAGGTAATATGATGCCTCTGGCTTTCTTCTTTATGTTTGGGATTGCTTTGGCTATTCAGGTTCTTTTTTGGTTCAATATCAATTTAAGAATAGTTCTAATTATGTGAAAAATGATGCTGGTAGTCATAGAAACAGTGTTGAATCTATAGATTGCTTTGGGCAGTATAGCCATTTGAACAATATTGATTTCCAATTCATGGTCATGAAATGTTCTTCCACTTGTTTATGTCATCTCTGATTTCTTTCAGCAGTGTTTTGTAGTTCTACTTGCAGAGATCCTTTACCTCCTTGATTAGCTGAATTCTCAGGTTTTTTTTTTCTTTTTATGGCTATTGTAAATGGGATTGCATTCTTGATTTGGCTCTCAGCTTGAATGTTATTGGTGTATAGATATGTTTCTTATTTTTGTACACTAACTTTGTATCCTGAAACATTACTGAAGTTGTTTATGAGGTCTAGGAGCCTTCTGGTAAAGTCTGCAGGGTTTTCTAGGTGTAGAATCACATTGTCTATGAAGAGAGATAGCTTGATTTCTTCTTTTCCTATATATATATCTTTTATTTCTTTTTCTTGCCTGATTGCTCTGGCTAGGACTTCCAGTACCAGGTTGAATAAGAGTGGTGAGAGTGGGCATCCTTACCTGGTTCCAGTTCTCAACGGGAATGCTTCCAGATTTGTTTGAGAGGGAATGTTAACATTGGTAACAGAATACAAAATAACTAGCTCTCAATTTTCATAATTAATAAAAACACAGAGAGAGAGATGGATTTTTTTCAGCAGGTGACCCTGTTGCCCTCTTATTGCAGTTCAAATGCACATTTTATTTGAGTGTGCTTTATCCCTTTAACTCTGCAAAAAGTACAAATGATTACAATTTGTCAGAGCTTAAGGCTGTTTCCTTACTTACTGCCAAGTCTGTCTTTTCTGTAGACAACAAAAACATTTTGACTTGTCCTACGCTGCACAGCAAACTGGTAGCATATTATGCAAGAAAAAGAAAGTGTTAATGAATCATTTGCTGAAAATATCAGAATTTCCCATGAGACTCAGAAATTCAAGTTACAGTATTTTTACCCCTTTAATGAGGAAATGATAGGGAAAGGTCAGAAAATTAAAATAATTTGGGATGCTTAATTATTCTAACAATTATCTATTTGACGTTCCAGCAATTCCTCAGGTTAATCCACTCCACCAAGTGATATGCATTTGAGTCACTTGGACAAAATTCATGGTGACATTTGAACATACCCAGAACAATCAACATAACTTCATTTACCCAACATGACAAAATCTTCACTATTTTACTGTTATTACTGCAATTATTATCACTATGTATTGAAGAATAGACTGAATCAGATAAAATTTAGTTTCATTTTGTCTCAAACTCTGCTCACCTTATAGCATCTACACAAAGGGAACAAACTCTTTCAGGGATGCAGAGAAAAGCGATAATTTAACCAGAACTGCTCATCTGGGAAGTGGATGGGAAACATCAGTCACCCGGTAGTCCTACGCCCACCCTTCTGTACTCTGCTCTGACAAGCAGGGGCTGGGAGTCTGCAACTCCATTTCCTAGGCTTCTTCACCACTTGGTTCCTTTCTGTCAACAGGCACTGGATGGTGGGGAAAGGGGAGCAGTCCTTTCCTCCCACTCTCACTGTCTCCTTTCTTTCCCCGGCAGTGTTTCTGAAGAGGTTATGTCCCCTCCTCTACCGTCCCAGGGTGGCGTCAGCAAGCAGGGTGGGAGCAGTAGTCTGTCCCCCATGATCACATCTCTTGAAGTTGTGGTAGGTCCAGAGATTGTAACCTCTTATGAGTTCTTAAATCCTGGTAGTGCCACACCCTCCTGTCTGTTCCCCCAAACTCCAGGATTCCCTTTAATCTCTGAGTTCATGTTACCATCACATTTTTGTTCATCCAGCCTTACAATGACAGTGTAACCAATTCCTTATATTAAATCTTCTCTATCTAAAACACTTAGAATGGTTTCTGTTTTCCTGGATACATCCAGTTCTTCCATTGTGAATTGTCTTCAATAATCCCTCCAGTCACTATTACTGTAACTTTTTAAGATCAGTACTATGTCCCAGTAATCCCGCTCTTCCTGATTTCCTATTCCACAAGGGAGCTGCCTTATATTCTCTCCAAACTGGGGTCTAGAAATCAAAACAAATCTCTGTCTCCTGTTACCAGAGAGTGATTTCTTAAAACAAACAAACAAACCAAAAAACCTCTTGGCCGGGCACGGTGGCTCACGCCTGTAATCCCAGCACTTTGGGAGGCCGAGGCAGGTGGATCACGAGGTCAAGAGATCGAGACCATCCTGGTCAACATGGTGAAACCCCGTCTCTACTAAAAATACGAAAAATTAGCTGGGCATGGTGGTGCATGCCTGTAATCCCAGCTACTCAGGAGGCTAAGGCAGGAGAATTGCCTGAACCCAGGAGGCGGAGGTTGCGGTGAGCCGAGATTGCGCCATTGCACTCCAGCCTGGGTAACAAAAGTGAAACTCCGGTTCAAAAAAAAAACAACAAAAAAAAACCTCTTAAGTTATTAAGTTCTTATTTGCCAATGTATAAATGGGTTGGTTGAGTTGTTGAAGATTAAGCTCTTAATGCTTTTAAGCTGTCAAGCAGGAAAAAGCTGGATAATTAAACCACAATGGAGAGCAAAAGCCTTAAATAAGCAGGAACAGTTGGCTGAAGGGAACACAGGAAGACCATTTCATGGTAGTGTAATTAGTAAACAATATACACAAAGAGCAGTACAAGGTCTCAATCTGTTCAATGCTATAGATGATCTTCCAAGTGAAAGTGTAATGAATCTCAAGGACTACAGCACATGATAAAAGCTGGTACTTTATAGTCTATGTTCCTCCCTTTGGATATAACTCTTACAGAAGGAGCATTTATTTTAAATCCGCTGTTTTCCAAATCCCAAGGAACTGCAGCGAAAGGCAGTTACTAGGAGAGGGAAGAAGACCGTTTAGAGCCTAAAGGACAATCTGTGAGGCCACAGGCGACCTACTCACTTTGTGAGCAATGAAGGAAAAGAAGAGCAACCTCCAGAAAAAGAGAAAAAGGAATGAAAGAAGAACTCATATGAATATCAAGTCTCGTATTTAGTCACTTGAGTACTAGTTTAACAGATACAGCAAACAGAAACAGTAATCCCTGCACCCATATATTCATAACCACCCAAATGCATGACCTCATGTGCTCCCATCCACCACCCAACCCCTATTCTCACTTCACAAACTTTGTGAGGATCGCCCCTGCTTTATATGTGATTGAATTTTCAAGTCACCACTCAGAGCATTATGCTGAGGTTTTACAGCCTCCCTTCCCCCCAGGAACAAACAGCCCATCATTATAATAGTTCAGCTCCCCTGGAATCTTCAGGTCTTTCAGAGAAAGCGGTTTCAACATCAAAGCAGGTACTAGGTCATAAAACATATAATTTTAAAATGTAAAAGTACAGAAATGCACACAAGGTCAGCGGTTCTGGAGAAAGTTAATATGAGACAAAGGAACATCTTGCCATTAATTTTCCATATTCAAGCATCATGCCATTCCATGGATTCAGCCACATTCCTGTCACCCTTGCCTCTGTGCCAGGAAGAAATAATTCCCCTTTTCCACACTGGAGTAAGCACATAGAAATGGTATCTTCCTATGGCACATCATAACTGAAACATGTTTTGCATTTTTTGAATAAAAAAATGCAATGATATGGTTTGGCTCTGTCCCCCCCCAATCACATCTTGAATTATACCTCCCATAATTCCCATATGTTGTGGGAGGGAGCCAGTGGGAGATAATTAAATCATTGGGGTGGTTCCTCCATACTGTTCTCATGGTAATGAGTACATCTCATGAGATCTGATGGTTTTATAAGGGGAAACTTCTTTTGCTTGGCTCTTATTCTCTCCTGCTGCCATGTAAGATGTGCCTTTCACCTTCCGCCATGATTGTGAGGCCTCCCCAGCCATGTGGAACTGTGAGCCCATTACACTTCTTTTTCTTTATAAATTACCCAGTCTCAGCATTGTGAAAACGGACTAATACATGCAACCACTTCACTTTAATATTTATAACGCAAGCATTACTTGTCCATGTAAAGGGACTTCTCCCAAGGGGGAAAGGTCACATTTTATCATTAGTTAGCCAGACATTCCTGCCATCTTGTTTTCTCCATTTCTAAGATTCTTTCTCCACAGCTCACAAAATCATGGCTACCCAGTCCAGAAACAATGACAGTAAGACCAAAGACATTCACATTATGGTAAAAACCAAAGCCTGGTTTTCCTAGAAATTTAAAGCAGTCAGTGTTTTTAGGATCGCTCCCCATAAACCATGGCTTCTGCTCCGACGTGATCACTCTGTCATCCAAGTTCGGACAGAGCTGCTTCCCGGGTGCAGGGCCAAGGATAGGGTATTGGAATCACCTGGGTGATTCATTATTGTTATTTTACTTAATATTTTTGTGGCACCCAGGCTGGAGTGCAGTGCCATGATCTTGGCTCACTCCAACTTCCACCTCCCAGGTTCAAGTGATTCTCCTGCCTCAGCCTCCCAAGTGGCTGGGATTACAGGTGTGCACCACCATGTCTGGCTATTTTTTGTGTTTTTAGTAGAGAGGGTGTTTCACCATGTTGGCCAGGCTGGTCTCCAACTCCTGACCTCAAGTGATCCGCCTGCCTCGGCCTCCCAAAGTGATGGGATTACAGGTGTAAGCCACTGCGCCCAGCTTGTTATTGTTATTTTAAAAATACAGATTCTCTATAGAGCCTTTGATTCCCTAAATGTCAGATGGGGTGGAATGGTCTAGATGCATATCAATTTTGGGAACTACTAGTTTTTTTGTTGTTGTTTTTTGTTTTTGGCAGAGAGAGAAAGAGCCTATGCAAAGGGCTAGTCTTTCGGAAAGAAGAAACTTTACAGCACATTTTGAGTAACTTGGTGCAGGCGCTCAGTGTGCCAGCTGGTGGGGCACCAGCTTGTAATGGGTTCCACAGCTGAGGCACTGCTGGCTCTTGCCTTTGTGCAGCCCAAACCAGATGACGGCACTGTTGTCCTCTTCAGGTACACCACTATTCTCTTGTTGGTGATTGAAGGGACTAAATTAGGGTCTTCCTTGGTACCTGAAGCTGCCTTTGGGAGTAGTACCTCGTGTGGGTCCAGTCCCTTCCTTGCAGCCATCATGACCTCCCTCTCCAAGCCAGTCATGCCTGTTATCAGCAGAAACACCAGATGCCATGGCGTGCACCACGGCCGTGCCATTGGGACTGCCAGACCTCAGGGCTTGCATAACCAAGTGCTCCAGCTCCATCAAGTAACTTTGAAGCCATCACCCTGCGACAAGCAGCCAAGGGAACTACCAGTTTTGACAATACAACAACTCCTTAAACCAAGAGGCTTCAGGCCTTTAAAATGAGGGTAAGCAGGCATCTCTTTAGAACATAAGGGTGCTTTCCTACCTGTAAGGCTAAGCTGAATAAAATCTGGAAATTTACATATAAACTTCTTTTAAAGTCACATTGCTATGCATGTATTCTAGTTTGGTTAAAATGAACAAAATTTTTTTAAATTAACAATTTTTATCGAATACATCTAAATATAGTAAGAACATATATATTTGGTTTCTTGAAACCAAATTAAGTGGTTGATTTATAGGGAGAATACAACCATTCGTGTTTAAAGAATTTTGCTTTGTGTGTGTGTGTCTCATTTTATTTTAGTCAAGAAAATCAAGAGCAATCAGATCTTCATAAACATCCTGTCAATAACCAAAAATATAAAGCTACTAATTGAACGCATTATTTTCTATTTCCATCAAATAATGTCACAGCCCTTTCAAATAAATCCCGAGCCCTCTAAAGCTGTCTGTTTAGGGGGAAATGCTCTGTGCAGATGGAGAGCTCTGCTCCTTTAAGGAAGGAGAACAGGGAGCTCAGAAATCATATTACGGATTTGTTTCTTTTTTCTTTTCTTTTTTTTTTTTTGAGACAGAGTTTCGCTCTTGTTACCCAGGCTGAAGTGCAATGGCGCAATCCCGGCTCACTGCAACCTCCGCCTCCTAGGTTCAATCAATTCTCCTGCCTCAGCCTCCCAAGTAGCTGGGACTACAGGTGTGCACCACCATGCCCAGTTAAATTTTTTTATTTTTAGTAGAGACAGAGTTTCACCATGTTGACCAAGATGGTCTCGATCTCTTGACCTCGTGATCCACCCGCCTCAGTCTCCCAAAGTGCTGGGATTATAGGGGATTTTTTTCTTTAATCTCTGTTTGTATTAAATTCTTGCTTTAAAATCAGAGACTGATGTTTATCAGGAAGTTACCCATTGGAGCATTGTTTTACAGGGTGGACGGGATTTTAACATTTTAATTTATTCCTTGGCTTAACTTGTTGCCTGGGTGACCTCTTAAACTTGGCTAATTCATGGTGTACCACTCTCTAATGATAGATTTAAAATATTACTCACAAGGAAATCAAATAGCTACCTTCAAAAGAGATGAAAACATGTGAAAGAACTTTATAAAACTGATTGGGCTAGGAGGGTGCTACTATGTCATTTTACTATAAATAAGAAAAAGAACCCATCTTTCTTCCACAGGCACAGGGCACCCCAAGCTTACCAGACGCCCGAGGTTGTAGTAACAATCTGGGTATTTCCTTCTGTGTTTAATCGCCGTCCGGTAACTTTGCTCGGCTGCTTCAAACCGTTTCAGGCTGTTCTGCACTATGCCTAGATTCATCCATGCAGCAGCAAAGTCTGGCCTAGAGGAGCAGTTTCAACAAGGATAAACAAGAAAGGCTTAGACGCCAGAATGCAAGAGCTCCTTCGTCACTACATCATTATAAAAGCAATGCTTACTGTATTTGAACAGCCAAAGACAGCAGCTCCTCAGCTTCCTGTAGTTCATTCCTTTCTTTTAAGATATTTCCAAGATTATTCATGGCATGAACATACTTGGGATTTAATCTGGAAGTTGAAATAAAAACCAAGCTGACCATTAAATGCTCAGTAGTATGTTTTTGCTAAACTCTCAGGAATTGGCACGGGTATTGTAAAGTTGAGGTCCTTAATGGAACAGGTGTTTCATACTAGAAAGTGAAAATGATCTGTGTGCGTAATTTCTCTATACGACATACTCGCCATACCTTACAGCTTCCCGGTAATATCTGATGGCGGCTGTCTGGTTGCCTTTATCAGCCAGGTTTTTGCCAATGTTGTAGTGAACCTGCAAAAAGAAAATATTTGGGCCATTAGCAGATAGACTTCTTGTTCAGAACCTGGACCCCATCATATCTTCTAACTGAAGACAAAAGGTAAAGGGATGAGGAAAAAAAGCACCCCAGAACTTTAGCTAAAACCCTACAGGGGTTAGGAGTTGCTTGTGCTTTAATCTCCAACCTTATAAGAGGATCAGAAGAAAGGGGGACAGGCATGGCACATCTCTAAAGCACAACAGAAAGGAAATAACTAAAGACCTCACCAGAGAAAACCAGAAAACTACAAAGCTGGGCTTTTTTAAAATTTTGCTTTTGATTTTTAGAGATGGGGTCTTGCTATGTTGCGCAGGCTGGAGTGCAGTAGAGCTATTCCCAGGTGCAAGTGGAGCACACTGCAGCCTTGAACTCCTGGGATTCAGTGATTCTCCGGCCTCAGTCTCCCACGTAGCTGGGACTACAGGTACACACCACCACACCTGGCTTATTTTTATCAGCAAAACCTCAAATCCTCCTTACCAACACCCTCCACTAGAGTTGAGATAACAAAGTCCAATCACATATGAACACGAGTAGAAGAAACCATGATTCTGTCCCTACCCATTTAAGCAAATGTGGTCCTTTCTTGTATGACATCTTTCTTCTGTAGCTAGCATCGCAAGCATTTTACTCTGTATCTGTTCTAGGCAGAATGTTAATGCACTCCCAAAATTCAAATGTTGAAATCCTCACTCCAAATGTGATGGTGTTGGGAAGCAGAGCCTTTGGGAGGTGATTGGGTCATGAGGGTGGAGCCCCATGAATGGATCAATGCCCTCATCAAAGAGGCCCTGGAGAGCTCCCATGTCCCATTTTTGCCATGTGAGGACACAGTGAGAATACGACCATCTGTGAACCAGGAGGCAAGCCCCCTCCAGACAACCAACCTGCCTGCACCTTGATCGTGGGCTTTCCAGCCACCGGCACTGTGAGAAGTCAGTGTCTGCTGCTGAAGCCACCCTGCCTCTGGTATTATTCTTTTTTTTGAGATGGAGTTTCACTCTTGTTGCCCAGGCTGGAGTGCAATGGTGTGATCTAAGCTCGCTGCAACCCTCACCTCCCAGGTTCAAACAATTCTCCTGCCTCAGCTTCTCAAGTACCTGGGATTACAGGCATGCACCACCATGCCCAACTAATTTTGCATTTTTAGTAGAGACGATGATTTCTTCATGTTGGTCAGGCTGGTCTCCTGACCTCAGGTGATCCGCCCACCTTGGGATTACAGGTGTGAGCCACCGCACCTGGCCTCTGGTATCATTCTTTCACAGGGTCTGAGCAAGGGTATTGCTGAAGTACAGAGAGCACGGCTGCAGGTTGGAGAGCCGGGGAGGAGCAGCTGCACTCACAGGGAACCCTGAGCAGAGCAGGCTGGATCAGTCCTTGTTCTCAGAGCCAAGAGGCTGGGCGGGGTCTGTAAGTGTGTGAGTGCTCCAGGGCTGCAGCAGCAAAGCACCACAAACTGTAGGGCTTAACACAACACACTTCTCTCACAGTTCTGGAGGCCGAGACAGTGTCCAAAGGGCTGGTCCCACCTCAGGCTGAGGGAGAGACTTCTCCTGCCTCTCTCCTGTCTCATGGAGCTGGCTCACAATCTCTGGCTTCCAGATGCCTTGCTCCCTCCTCTGCCTCTGTCTTCATGACCATCTGCCCTCTTTGTCTGTCTCCCTGTCTCTTCTCCTGTCTTACAAGGACACCAATGACACTGGATTAAGGGCCCACCATACTCCTGTATGACCTCACTTAACTGACATCCTAATTACACCTGCAACAGCCCCATTCCCAAAACGGGTTACACTCCCAGGTCCCAGGGGTTGGGATCTGAGCATATCTTTTGGGAGGCACAGTTCAACCCACAGCAAGAAGCCAGGGGCAGGAGGCTAGAAGAGGTCATCATCAGGTTTATGCTCACATGAAATAAATTCTGTGGTGGGAAAGAGATGTGAGTGGGGAGAAGCAGATGTCAGGGGCTCTGGGGAGGCTGTGGCTGCAGTCCTGGAAGAGAGGACAGCAGACTGAACTAGGGTGGTAATGAACCCGTGGACTGGTTTGAAGAAGAGTGAGGGAGCAAAAAGCATAGAAATTGGTGACCAACTGCTAGGAGAAAGGGAAGCATGTCAAGAACAAATGTGAGGTTCGCAACATTCAGACAAAATGGATGTGACGGCTTTCAAGAGAAGTGACGGGTGATCAGGCTTGTTTAGGAGGATAGGCTAGGCTGACATGGTAGTACAAGGTCACCACCCATTTCTAGAATTCTTTTCATTTTGCAAAAATGAAACTCTATACCCATTCTCCCCTCCACCGAACCCCTGGCAACCTCCATTCATTTTCTGTCTCTATGCATTTGACTCCTAGGTACCTCACGTAAGTGGAATTGTCCATTTGTGTCATCTGTGTCAGAATTTCTTTCCTCTTATGGCTGAATACTATTCTGTTTGTCCATTTGTCCTTGGATGGACACCTGGGTGGCTTCCACTTTTTAACTATTGTAAGTAATGCGGCCATGAACATGGGTGTGCAAATATCCCTCTGAGTCTCTGCTTTCAGTCCTTTTGGGAATACGCCTTCAAATGGAATTGTTGGATCATATAATTCTGTTTTTAACTTTTTGATATACTAAAGTGGATAATATTATAGGAATTTCACCTCCATTAAAAAAGAATGAGGAGAGGATTTTCAATGACTGAAGAGGGGGTGGAGTAGGATGAATGGAATGGGGCTCCCAGCTGCCAATCTGCTAGGAATTCTCAGGTTGCCTTGGAACGAGGGCAGCAGGAAAGCCAATATATGGCAGTTTCTCAACTCTACGTGGGCTTAGAATAAATGACAAAGAAAAAAGTGGGGACCTGAACCAAGTCCAGGGCAGCAAGACGGCACAAGCTCACGAGGACTACAATAAAAAGCATTTGTTGGCTGGGAGCAGTTGCTCACACCTGTAATCCTACTACTCTGGGAGGCCGAGGTCGGCAGATCATCTGAGGTCAGGAGTTTGAGACCTGCCTGCCTGACACAGTAAAACGCCATCTCTACTAAAAATACAAAAATTAGTTGGGTGTGGTAGTACACACCCATAATCCCTGCTACTCGGGAAGCTGAGGCAGGAGAATTGCTTGAACCCAGGAGGTGGAGGTTGCTGTGAGCTGAGAACATACCACGGCACTGTAGCCTGGGCAAGTAACAGAGCAAGACTCTGTCTCAAAAAGAAAAGAAAAAAAGTACTTGTTGATGACCAAAAGCTCCTTTTGGGACTTTACAATATAAAGGGAGTAGCAACCCCAGAGCAGATGATGCCACAGAAACTCACTCAATCAGGAGCATGTAGGGTGGGTGCTACTAACAGCAGCCACGGCAATCGGTAAGATAGTGTACAATCGGCAGAACTCGAGTGGTACCCACCAGCGGGGCACAGTGTTGCGGGCTGCGTGTGCACGGTCTCTCCTCATGGTGGCTTTAGGCGTGGCTGCTGTGACCCTCTCTTCTGAGTTGCTAAACTGCTTCGGGGTCATTCAGCCTCTCATCGAGGGCTGTGAAGCTGGATTGGAAGCAGGCTCTGAAGTCTGTGTTTCTTCCCATTAGATTACAGGCATTGATTACGGTGCTGGGGGAAGGTGACTGCTCAAGGCACTTTCTAGATCCACTCATTCATACCACTGGCTTTTTCCCTAAGTAACATCACGTTTCTTGTTATATGATATTGTCCCCCAAAGTTGACATTAAACTCCTGGCACCCTAGAATGAGAAGGTATTTGGAGCTAGGGTCTTTAGAGGGAAGTAAGGTCAAATGAGGTCATACGGCTGAGTTCCAATTCATGTGACCCCAATCCAGTCTGAGTGTCTTTACAGAAAGAGGAAATTTGGACACAGACACCAGAGACGTTTGAGCACAGAAGACAGACCACATGAGGACATAGGGAGAAGAAGCAGTCTGTAAGCCAAGGAGAGAGGCCTCACAAGAAACAACCCTGCTGACACCTTGATCTTAACACTTCCAGCATTTAGAACAGTGAGAGAATAAACATCTGTGGTCTAAGCCACCCAACCTCTGTGTGCGTGTGCGTGTGTGTGTGCGCACGCGCTTATGGCAGCCTCAGAAGACTAATAAAATCTCAAAACACAGTAATGGCTTAAACACATTCAAGTAACATTACGTCTGAACACTGCTTCCAAAGGACCCCTGAAAACAGAACCACATCCTGCCTTATCAATCTTAACCTACAGTTACAGCACTTCCTCAGAGACTCAGATTTCTGGAGAGTATGCAGCAGCGCATATTAACAGGTTTTCTTAACTGCCAATTTAAAAGCATAGAGATTTATGTTTACCCACTCTGATGAAAGGACTCACAAGCAGAAAAATCGCAGGTGATGAAAATGTGCAATACTACTGTGCACCACACAGTATAATTTGAACTTTCTGCATCAAATTATTGTCCATTCATAGGCATTTTCGTCCTTAAATTGTAGCTTAGAGGAAGCTCAGTTAATGCTATCGCCGAAGTGCGTATTGAGAAAAGTGCTCTAAATGATTAGAATTTGAGCTTCCCCCAACCCAGCTTGGATGTATGACTTCACCTCCTCTCCTACACACAAAAGAACCGAGGGCTGGAGAATCCAATCTGCCAGCGATGTCCTTGTGGTCCTCAGAATACAAATACAGCTTCTACTCAGACATCAACTCGATGCCCCCCCTCCTTCTGCCCCAAGCTCCTGCTGTTTTCCTTTGTTCCAGGCAAATTCTGTTTTCTCAATAAAAAGCCCAGACAAAGTGTTCAACCGCCCTCTGCAGTATAGACAGTGTTCTGTTAGACACTCAGAATGCCAGAGACCAGAAGATCAAGGGAGAAGGACGTGGGACTCTGGAACAGGAGCTAGTTAAAAATCTGATACAGCCTTAGAAGGCAGACCATCATTAAGAGCTGGTAAACAGGTTTACCCAGAGGCCAGCTTTATCCTGTGGGTTAGGGTGGAGGGAATTCTTTGAATAAAAAATAGCTGCCTAGATTGCAAAACAAAACAGAACAAAAATCTCACAATCAGGTCACTTAAAACAATTTTTAGAGAATGAGTGACTTTTGTTTCCCTGAAATCTGAAAGACTGAAAAACCTGTTTGTCTTTCAAAACCTCTAGCATTTGTGATGCACCTGCAGAGGCCATGAACTAGCACAGGAGAAGTCGAAGACAGAAACCACCCCAACAACCCAGTAACATGTAAATGAAAGGGAGAAAGCGTATTGATTATGAAAGGCACCTTTACTACCAGGGCCAAACTAATTTTTTATAAATACTCTGGCAATATCTGATGTTAAACTTAAGATGTTTTAAAAACATAAAAATCCTAAAACATCATGGGTCACTTACTCCTTAGGAAAATACCTCATTGTGGTAAATTATCTGTTTCATTGTTAAAAGAATTTATTACAGAATTGCATCACATAGTTGATAGTGCAACATACTTTTAAGCCTTAAAAACTATAAATGACTGGCCGGGCGCGGTGGCTCAAGCCTGTAATCCCAGCACTTTGGGAGGCCGAGGCGGGTGGATCACGAGGTCAAGAGATCGAGACCATCCTGGTCAACATGGTGAAACCCCGTCTCTACTAAAAATACAAAAAAATTAGCTGGACATGGTGGTGTGTGCCTGTAATCCCAGCTACTCAGGAGGCTGAGGCAGGAGAATTGCCTGAACCCAGTAGGCAGAGGTTGCGGTGAGCCGAGATCGTGCCATTGCACTCCAGCCTGGGTAATAAGAGCGAAACTCCGTCTCAAAAAACAAAAAAAAACAAAAAAAATCTATAAATGACTGTAAGTATACTTGGTATCTCATCCACAGTAGTCTCAGTGAATTCAATTTCCATTTGGCTCAATTCATCAACTAATATTGAATGTCGACCATATGCAAGGCACTGTGGGTAATTTACACACAGACCAAGCACCAGCACTACCTACACGGATATTGCAATTTCTCAAAAAAGATGAGTCTTAGCTCATACATCTGGCTCTAAACTAGAGCCAGTTGCCAATTTCTTACTTCACATTCAACAGGTATCAAATGAAACCAGTATAGAACAAGTGTCCCCTATAATAATGCGACTGAAAGAAACCAGTGTCTTCCTACGTCCTACGTGAGATCTCTTTCCTAAAATCAACTTAGATTTTTCAAAAAAAAAAAGGAAGTAAAGATAATTTTACGACACTTCAACTAACAGTGGAAAGTTTAAAAATAAACCAGGGGCTGGGCACAGCAGCTCATGCCTGTAATCCCAGCACTTTGGAAGTCTGAGGTGGGTGGATCACCTCAGGTTAGGAGTTCGAGATCAGCCTGACCAACATGGTGAAACCTCGTCTTTACTAAAAATACAAAAATTAGCTGGATGTGGTAGCGGGTGCCTGTAATACCAGGTCCTCAGGAGGCTGAGGCAGGAGAAATGCTTAAACCTGGGAGGCAGAGGCCGTAGTAGGTCATAATCGTACCACTGTACTCCAGCCTGGGTGATAGAGCGAGGCTCTATCTAAAAAATAAATTATTTATAAATATAAATATAAATATATAAATATATATATATATATATATATATAAATAGATAAATAAATATAAAGAAACAAAACCCCTCTATCTTGCTTATATTGAATGGTATCATTGAAAAATGTTCTTAAGAAAGGACTATTACCACTGAGTCCATTTTGAAGATGAGGTCTTATATGTATTCCTGTATTCCTTAAATTAAGAAAAGAACCCATCCCCACTCTCACACACACACACACACACACACACACACACACAGACACTTTCTCTCTCTCTCTCACTGTCTTTCTCCTAATACTTCTGTGCATGCCCACAAGTGCACGCCCCGTGTTTTCTGGCCTATAACATAAGAAATCACTTCCTGGGCAGGTTTTTGGGTTCAGGTATCACCTATGTTCCATTCTCCTTATTTACTAAGGCACCTCGGCACATCACCATACCAGGTTTCTCTCTAGCCACCTAAATTACTAGCCTAGATAATGTCAGTTTAATCTTGCTATGCCTCAGTTTCTCCCATCTGGGAACATAGAGAAAATAATACCCTCTCTAAAAACCTTGGTGAGAGGATAATAGAGATTAATTATAGAGCCTCTATAAAGACATCTGAACTCCTTGTGGTGAGGAACTACACAAATAGAAGGGGTAATTACTGCTATTCAAACAGTAAGTAAAAATAAGGAAAATCTATTAACATTTATGAAATTAAATCACAGGCAATTTATTTTTGGTTGCATAAATTGATAAGTCAGCAAATAAAATTAAAGATAAAAGCTCAAAGTAATTCACTATTTTATCCAAGTCTCTTAACTGTAAAATATGAACAAGAGTTTTTAATCCAAGGAAAAGATAAGTAGCCAGAATCTTTTATATATTATTCTTCACCTAAAGTTCATAATAAGATGTCAACTATTCATTAGTTTTGTTTACATAATTTTGTCTGAAATTATTGCCTTCTCTTAAATAGGGAACATAGAAATGAGACAGCGATCCAGAGAGCTCCCCGTCTCCATTCAGGAGGATTACATATAAGCATCCTAGGCAGCTCTAATTCTGAGGACCTAAGAGAGAATGAATCATTATTTAATGATAATAATCTATACTAATGGAGAATTCTTCTAACTTAACCAACTCTATGGCCCCCATTTTGAGCAAACAGCATTCTCTTCCCAACATAATGCAAAATCCAGGCTGAAATGAGCCTACAAAAGCTGACACTTTCTGAGCACCTACTATGTGCTGGCCACTGTGGGGGGACACTTTAGTTCATTCAGCCCTAACAACAAACCAGCAGATGGGTATTATCCACTTCGGATAGAAAAGGGCACTGAAAGTTTTTAAAAGTTTAGTTTTGCTCAAAGAGGCACAGCTAATCATGTGACGAGCTGTAATCATCAAGAATACCAGTGAAAAAATTCCTACCAGATTGCTTCAACCAAATACACTGCCAATTTTAGAGAACAGTCATGCATTACTTAATGACAACAGGGATACGTTCCGAGAAATGCATTGTTGGGTGATTTTGTCATTGTTTGAACATCAGAGAGTGTTCTTACACAACCCTAGATGGTAGATCCTTCTACACACCTGAGCTATGTGTGGTCCAGCCTGTTGCTCCTAGGCCAGAAACCTATGCGGTGTGTGACTGTACTGAATACTTGAGGCAATGGTGACACAATGGTAAGGACATAGAAAAGAGACAGTAAAAATATTGGCCGGGTGCAGTGGCTCACGCCTGTAATCCCAGCATCCGAGAGGCTGAAGCGGGCAGATTATTTGAGGTCAGGAGCTCGAGACTAGTGTGACCAACATGATGAAACCCTATCTCTACTAAAAATAAAAAAATTGGCTGGGCGTGGTGGCGGGCATCTGTAATCCCAGCTACTTAGAAGGCTGAGGTGGGAGAATCCCTTGAACCCAGAAGGTGGAGGCTGCAGTGAGCCAAGATTGCACCACTGCACTCCAGCCTGGGTGAGAGAGTGATATCCAGCCTCAAAAAAAGATATAATTTTATGGGACCATGGTCATATACATGCTATACGTGGTCTGCTGGCCAAAACATTGTTATATGGCACATGACTGTGTGTACATTTATGTTTACCTAATCTGACCTAAAAAAATCACAAGCAGGGGACTCAAAGGTGACATAAATGTGTACTACTGCACAGCACATAGCATCATTTAAACTTCCTGAACCAAATTATTGCCCATTTGTAGGTATTACTGCCCCTTTAAATTACAGCTTGGAGGAGGCTAGTTAATGCAATCACTAGAGAGTGGGCTTTGAAAAGTGCACGCTAGACATCAGAATCTGTGCCGTGTCCACACGCTCAGTATAAATACACAATGTCACCTCCCCTGAAGCTACCTCAAAGGGCAAGAAGATCATCTGGAAGATGTGTAAGATCTCATTAGAGTTACTGTCTGCTTTTAAATGATTTCTTTTCAATTTTGGCTGAGTGGAATTTTAATGAATCTTACCAAAATAATTTTAAAAAAACACACAATAAAGAAAAACCCAAGTACTCGGTCATGGTCTTACATTAAATACTGTACAACAGGAAATGCTCTTATTCAGCTGAAGAACTTAACACATTCCCAAGTAAGGTCTCTTTAAAAGAAATCTGGCGGGTAGGTACCTTAGCATTGAGGGGACACACAGACAGGGCGCTTCTGAAAAGCTGTTCCTCACTCCGCCACTGGCCGCTGCGCACCACGCATCTCAGCATGTTGATGAGTACGATCCCCAGCATGACAGCTGCGATGAATTTCTTAGGAACAGAGAGACACGGTAAATACCACCGGTGAGATGCGTTGCTTGTTTCCTGTACCCGTTGGCACCATTCTCGGTTGATACCTTTTTCCTGGTGTGTTTGCTCAGGGCTCCAAATCCAAAAGTCAGCAGCACACAGTACCCGACGCTGGGGAGGTAGAGGACTCGCTCCGCGACCACGAAGCCCACTCGGAAGAACAGGTTACTCGCAGGGAGAAATGGGATAACGAGAAATCCCAGGCCCAGAGTAAGGATCCTGGATGATGAAAAGTATTGAAAGAAATGACTATTTCCAGACTTCTCAAGAAAAACATTTCCTGTGGATAAAGTCTGTGGCTCTTTAGAATTACCACCTGATTTAAGACACAGGTAAACTTAAAACTTAATTTATTTCGAGAAATTACTAAATTACTAGCAGTTCACATTAAATTAATGCTAAAGACCTTTTCTTTTCTTTTTTATACCATCAACTGACAGCAACTTTTGCTGTCAGCCAAAGTATATCATCAGTAGCGAGAGTTTATCTTGGTAGCACAGGGATAAGGCATACAAATATTCCTCAGGCACTTCACAGCGAGCCTAAGTGTAAAACTTAAAAGCCATAACATTTGTATGGAGAAAGTTAAAATGATCACTTTTAACTCCTGAGGCCTTATTAATCCACCTACTCCTTACTTTGCCTCAAACTGCTTAGGTACTAAATAGTTCAGTGAATATTGGTCTCAATTAATTAAAAAACTATCCCAATTCATTTTCATGGGGGAAAAAAATTTTCCTCCAAAACTTAACAAGAACAACAGCACTTAAGTAGTTTAAAGTTTACGAAATCTGAAATAAACAAACACCATTTCTTGGTTGCTACATCATTGTAAATTTCAGTCAGGGAGATATGAAGCTGAGCACTCAAACACTTCTAAAACCACCTGATCATTCCCAATGTCCCTTATGATGCAAGAGGATGAATTAAGACTCAGGGTCAATGTTGGTGGCTCCTTCGTGGGCCCTGTACCTACAATATTTCTTTTAAAAATCCCATTTCCTGTGGATAAGGGAACTGGGACTAAAGTTTATGGCTCTTTAGAATTACCAACCAATTTAAAGACACAGGTAAACCTAAAACTTAATTTATTTTCAGAAATTACTAATCTAATTCCATAAACACTTAGGCTTAAAGGAAATCATCTTAAACAGTTTTCTTTTTCATGAAACACATTTGTTTTCCCCAATTATTTTCTCAATAACTTTTTTTTCATCAAGAAAGAACAGTCTCTTTGGGGCAGTGGCTTATTTTGTATCCAGCAACAACAGAAGGAATCACGGTCGTGTTCACTGGGGTGTTTTGAGGAAGAATTGTGCAATAATGGGCACAACACACATCAATTACACTCTCTGTTCTGACCATAAATTACTCTTTACCACCTACAGCGAAAAGGATCGCAAAATGCTACTTCCTGGAGAAAGGGGGAGGGGGAATGAAGCAGTCATCCGCAGCCCCTCTTCCAGCCTCGCTCCCCACCCGTGGAAGCCGGCCATGGATTCCGAATGGATGGAACTCATCCTGGCCATAAATATGCATTTGAAACAAATGTCCTTAGACATGACTTCCACAAAACCATTAAAATGATCAGTGCAGGATTTCACAAAACACTTCTGATTCAACCATCGTGGAAGTTAAAATTCAGCACTGCCTCTTACCTTCTCTTGTGGCCATCTCCAGAGCACAGGGCTTGGAATATTAGGCCAATTAGGCAGAACCAGAGCGCTGCAACTGCAATTACCCTCCAGTCCCTGACCGACTTAATGAGGGGGATGCAGCCCATTGACCAATCAAAACACAGCCACCAGGGACACAGCAGCAGCCAGGCATTCAATGAATAGTAGTAATTATAGTTTATGGCCTGTCAGTCAAAAGGAAAACAAACACTTATTTGATATTGAACTTAAAAAACATATACATATGCACTAACTTCACTTGAGGCACTCACATGCTTCTCTTCAATAAAAGCAGTTGTATCAAATAAAATGCTGCTGGGTATGTGACTGTAGCCTCTAATTTATTAAATGTTTTCAGATTTTGGTATGTAAAAATATCGCAAAGCCGCCAGACTATGCAATACATTCATAATATTTCTGGCCAAGCTATCACCTATTTGCTGCCTGAAGCCCGTGACTTCTGAAATCTGAGGCCCCAGGGTCACCTATGTGTCCAATAACCCAAGTACTGGGTCAGGGTCTTACACATAGGGTTCGACGGTTGTTCTCTTGATTTGGGTCTCTACAAAATGCACAGCTGATAATTGGTGGCTTGATACCCTTGCCTTTAGAAAAAGGCAAATCTAAAAGAATAGTCTTGACACCACCAGTCTTCTCAAAATACCACCAAGATGGTTAGATTTAGTCTTAACCCAGCCACAGGGTTAGGGAGCCCTTTTACATGACTGGCAAGGACCCTGATATGAGAAGGAACCGCCCTCTTTACTCCTCATTAGAGCGGAAATTCGAGGAGCTTCTGCCCGCCCTTTCACCCCCCTCAGGAAGACCTGCTTTCATCCCAGAACATCCTTAGTGATCGCTAAAAAACATGGAGGTGGCCTGCGCTAGGGATTTCCTTGGCGTGGAGAGGAGTGAGACAAACAGGAGGGGTGAGGGATGTGGGAATCTGGTGGGGGAAGAACACAGTCTGGAGGGCAGCAAGCTGAGAACTCACCCTCACCAGCACGCTGTCGGCAAAGGAGGCTGGGTTGTCCACCTCGGTGAAGGTGGGCGGGCCAGTGCCCATGATCCTCCAGCGCACGTAGAGCATCCCGGCCCCACCGGAGGTGAGCAGGGTCATTCTGAAGAGGAGGCCCCCGTTCCTGAGCATGCCGAGATTCTGCAAGGACACCACAAAGCCCCAGAGGTGGCTGATTTTCAAATAAAAGTGTGGCTGAGCCAGGTATGGATGTGCAGCAATTCTGCCTGAACTACTTCCACACTGTGCTTTTTTAAAAGGCTGGTTATTGTAGAATTCAAAATCACAAGGAATATTTGAAAATGGCATTTTAAATCTGCTGGTACTTGACATTTTCCATGTCTGGGCTGGAGATAAAAGTACAGACTCACCTCTAATGACTTGTCCTTATGTAGTACCTTCTGGACAATTTCCAGAACATTGAATTTGCCTATCACCAAGATGTCAAATACTGCATTCAAACCCTAAGAGAGCAAAGCAAGACAATCAGCCCTGGGAGAGCCTGGCTCTGTTACACAGCAATTACACTTCAAAATTTCATTACTCAATCTAGACAAGCAGTGTATAGACAAGAGAATCACGGAAGACCTCTGAGGTGCTTTAAAAAAAAACAACCCTATGTTTCTATGAAATTTACTCAAGGCAATAAATCAAATTTATTATTTAATAAGCCCCTGAAAGAAATGATTTCACAGTCTGTGTGTAAGAGTTCTGTAAGATTCAGGACAGCTGGAAATTTGGGATTCCTAAGAAAAGCCTCAAGAGATCCCTCTTCCACTTCTCCCCTTTTTTGGTCACTATAATACTGACCTTCAGTTCATGCAACAGAGTGGCTTCCTGGGCAGTAATCATGCTAGAAGATAAAGGCAGCCACCAACCTAGAAAACCACATAAGTGAACCTCATGTCCGGTGGACTTCAGCATCTTTAGAAACAGGATGAATACACATGATAATTTCTGATGAGCTCTGGAGAGCTCTTGTGCAGAATTCTAGTTGTACAGTAGTTTTTTCACTGGGTTACAGCACGGTGACATCTCCCAGGCCCCCATGCAGTTAAGCTCGGTTATTGGGCTGAGTTCTAGCCTTATGGAATGTGGGAGAAGTGGCATGTCCCATTTCGGAGGTTTGGTTGTAAAAGGTGGGCTCACATTCCCACATGGTTTCCCCTTCCCGCTGGCTGGAATGGAGCTGCCCAGGGTGACTTTGGAAACCACACATTGATGAGAGCAGGCCTTTGTCAGGCGGGGCCGTGGTAGGAAGGATGGCCACCTCTATCAGTTTACAGCTCTGCCCATGACCCATGAGATGCACACAAATAACTTCAATTAGCAGTCCACCTGTGTTAACGGTTTCCACCAGCACCACAATAGTTACTATCTAGCAGGTAAAATTAAACCTGTAGTTACAGGTAAAAGGAGAGCTGAGCCTTGGATTCTATTCTCTCTCCTGCAACGTATGTTCTACAAATGTCACTGCTGCAGGCAATGCCATCTACAGAACTCCCCACCCAATCTGGATAAAGTGGTCTGCACATACTTGGTGGATACAGTTAAAGCTGCCCTTAAATGACTTGGGTCTTTTTAATATGATCTTCTTTGTGGCAAAGGAGATCACACATCACCGGAAGTCAGTGGTAATTTGTGGTTTTCAGAGCAAGGATGACATCCCTACTTAACCCTCTCCCAGAAATGCTGGGAGCCACTAATTATCCAATACATGGGCCAGTGCTGGGTTAATCAGTTCAAAGAACCCTGATTTTATTCGCCCATATGAGACATGATCTTAGTGGGTCACAGAAGACCATTTCTGCCTGGTTGAAAACTGCTTTCTAGAAGGCAGATGCTCCCTGCATAGCAGCTGCTGTCTTCTCAGTTTTCCTGTGAGCTACAGATAGTCACCAAGGGGTGGCAGGGTCATGTGTGAAGGGGCCTGAGCCAAGGACAAGACTGGACCCCTTCCTTTTAAATGCATCATCAAAATAGCCCCATTTGAATCCAATTTTTGAAAATAGCTATATTTCACCATATCTTTATTCATATAAATTCAACTGAATTCTCTCCTGCTCCTGAAATACTGCACAGAGGAGGCTGGGCGTAGTGGTTCATGGCTGTAATCCCAGCACTTTGGGAGGCTGAGATGAGTGGATCACCTGAGATCAGGAGTGCGAGACCAGCCTGGCCAACATGGGGAAACCCCCGTCTCTACTAAAAATACAAAAATTAGCCAGGCATGGTGGCACGCACCTGCAATCCCAGCTACTTGGGAGGCAGGGGCTGGAGAATCACTTGAACCTGGGAGGCAGAGGCTGCAGTGAGCTGAGATAGTGCCATAGCACTCCAGCCAGAGCAACAAGAGAGAAACCCCAACTTGAATAAAAATTAAAATAAATAAAATAAAATACTGCACCGAGGAGCTGCCTGAGGGCCTTGTGTACAAATTCCAACTTGGCAGGCCTGTGGAGGGGGTGGGCCTGGGATCCTCAATTCCTAACATGCTCCTGATCCTCAAACCACACTTTGTATTAGGGAAATGTTCTAAAGCCAGCGGTTCTCAGGGATTATTTTGACCCCCAGGGAACATCTGGCACTGTCTGGAGACATTTTAGGTTGTCACAACTGAGGGGTCCCATTGACATCTAGTAGGTAGAGGCCAGGAATGCTGCTAAACATCCCACACAGCACAGAACAGCCCCCACAAGAAAGAACTGTCTGCTGTGAAACATTAATAGTGCCAAGGCTGAGAAACATTGGTTTAGAGCAAACTATAAAAACATTAACTCAAGAAATTCAAATATCTTTCCACGGTAATTCTCCCTATACCATCTCCTTGCTAGCTTAATCTTCATAGACACAACCTAATAAAACCAGCAATTTTTTGCCTTGACTTGTATCAAGCCCCAAATAGCTTTAATTGTTCTTTCCTTTCCAAGCTATTTCTATGTGATCATTCCTTGGCCAAGCACGATGGCTCATGCCTGTAATTCCAAGGCTAGGAGTCTGAGACCAGACTGGCCAACAAAGGGAGACCCCATTTCCACAAAAAATTTTATAAAATTAACTGGGGTGGTGGCACATAATTACAGTACCAGCTACTTGGGAAGCTGAGGTGGGAGGCTTGTTGAGGCTGCAGTGAGTTATAATCGTGCCACTGCCCTCCTACCTGGGTGACAGAGTGAAATCCTGTCTCAAAAAAAAAGAAAAGTTCCACATCTTTCCATTTCTCTACCTCTGTTCACAATCTTAATTTCTATATTTTTTCTAAGAAGGTAAAGCAGGAAACTGGGTAGAACAGTGAAAAAGAAAAAGAGATTTCAACACTTCTCCTTTCCTTTTCAGATCAGACTGAAAATGTAGATGCCTTTCTGCTTCAGAGAGCCCTCTCCCCCACCCCGATGCTGCCGGTGGAAGCTGAGGTAGAGGTTCTCTCCAGGAAAACGATGTACCCAAGAGAATACAGTGTATATACCCTATTACACAGAGAAAAATTTCAAGGTTCGAAGTTAAAACATGTGATTACCAGGCACATCTGGCATAAAAAGAGTCCTCTGAGAACAAAGTCCCACTAGAAACATTAGCACCCTTGCAGATTCTTCTTTAAATATGAGACTAGTTAGTAATCTTTTAATTTCAGGTCAAACACTTGTGACCATGGAACACTTTGGCTCCAGCACTGCTTGAAGTTGCACTTGCGTGGTGATTAACTATAACCATAGGTAACCGCTGTGGGGAAGGGCGAGGAGAGAGACATAATGTGTGTGCACGTGAGGCTCTGAGTGGCAGCAGAACTCCTGTTCCTTTTTTTTTTTCTTTTGAGACAGAGTTTCACTCCTGTTGCCCAGGTTGGAGTACAACAGTGCGATCTCAGCTCACTGCAATGTCTGCCTCCCGGGTTCAAGTGATTCTCTGGCCTCAGCCTCCTGAGTAGCTGGAATTACAAGCATGTGCTACCACACCCAGCTAATTTTGTATTTTTAGTAGAGATGGGGTTTCTCCATGTTAGTCAGGCTGGTCTCAAACTCCTAAGCTCAGGTGATCAGCCCACCTCGGCCACCCAAAGTGCTAGGATTACAGGCATGAGCCATTGTGCCTGGCCCTGTTCCTTCATTTCTAAACTACCCACTACCCTTTCCAGATCCTGGATCAAAACCATTGATGGGGTCAGTCCTAAGTGATCTAGGACTGCTGAAATATGTATAAGCAAACCAGAAAACTCAAACCATTTTTTGATCGTTTTCTACAGGGCCTCTCAAGAGAACTCATCACGGCTCCCTAAGAACTTCTCATTCACCATTTCTCACCAGTTGTGCATGACTGCCAAGGAAGACAGTCAATTCTCCATCTGAAATGCCAGAACTGTGACAGTGAGTAATTTGTCCAGAAAGGTCTATAACTGCAGGCCAGCAATGGGATGCAGGCGTGGAGGACGCCACAGAGGCAGGGCCAGCCCCAGATGTCTTTATAGGAGGAAAAAGGATGCACACGAAAAGCAGGCCCAAGCCACACTGCGGCACTCACCAGCACGGTGATCCCTTGCTCTTTGCACAGCATGGCCACTGCTCCCAGAAAGATACTCAGCAGCACCCAGAAGGTGGAAGAATGCGTTCCCTCCTTGGTACCTGCCAATTAAGAGAAAGATCAGTGCAAAAGTCATGCAATGCAGCTGTTTTTTAGCATCAGGAACTAAAATTCTAAGCAAATACCTTAAACAACCGTAACTTAAAAACAGGGTTTGGCCTTCAGACAGCACTGCTCTGTGGGCGAGTGTGCATTAGACAATACTTTCTAAATGGTACATATGTGCCCTCTCAAGGCTCTCCTGAGAAGGTGCCCAGAGCCTTTGGGAGGCACTGTCATGAAGTCCTGGCCACAAAGACGCCTCATGCCAGAGTCCCCATGCAGTAGGTACCTTCTTCTCAACCTGCCAATCAACTACTAGATCATTCTGATGAGTTTTTCTGAGAACTCCCACTGAGACTACAAACAATCCCATCTAGTTTCAAGATGACCCCAATGGTCACTGCTGCTGTCATGAAGGAGCTGCTGGGAATGTCTCTGAGGCTCTGAGAATCTCCACTACTTCTGGAATAGGAGTTGGAGCCCTCTGGACACCAGGTGGCTTACAGTGGGTCTGCTCTGTCCCCTGTGTGGAACAGCTCCAACCTGTACCAAACGATGCACAGCTACTGACAGAGCTGGCACCTACCCAGCACCTGGGGCAGGTAAAGGCATGGACCAGGCTGGGCTTCCAATCTGCATGGGGGCTCGAGTACCAACAAGAAGTCGAAACACCCCCAGATCTCGGGCGGGCGGCAGCTCGAGTAACTATTCCTGGTCCCTAAGTGGCCTTCTGGAAGCAGGGTCTGGCTGTACACTGTCTGGACAGTGGTGTGTGCAATTTGGGGGCCAGCACCAAACTGCTAGGGAAGGAGGGAAGCTACATGGATACTCCTCTCCCTTGTGAAGCCCTCACTTGTCATCTAAATGAATAAGGCAATGTATAAAGAAGATATCAGTATAAAGTGGGACAAAAGCAAACCTTCTTGGAGAATCTAATTGTTAGCTCACCTGGGGTTACTTGGTGCAATTCCACTTATAACTGGAACTCCTGATCTGAATGCCAGCTCTGCCACTCACTGTGTGACACTGAGCAAGTGACTCTCACAGTCTCAAGGAACTCTTGTATAAAGTGGGGGCAACGTTACCTACCTCAGGATAGATTCAAAAGGAAAAAATTATAGAGGAACACATGGCCATTTGTGTTAAAACCTCATAAAGAATGCTTGCAAATGCAAAATATATCTTTATGACAACATAAAAGAAATTGACTAGTTTCTGGGAAGTTCTAAAATGAAAAATTGGGGTAACGGAGGGAGGAAGTCTTACTTTTCATCACGTAACTTTCAGTACTCTTTGCATTATCTTAACAGTGTGTGTATTAAAAACCATGTTAAAAACTAAATGTATTAAAAATCACTTGGTATAATGCTGGGACTAGAGAAATCATTTAAATAATGTTTGTGGCACTTGGGTCAGTGAAACCTGGTCAGCTTAGAGGGAGATGGAATTTCCAATGGGGCTTTGATGCAGTAGTCAAGGGGGTGGCTGATCAGCCACCGTGTCATAAAATGTGCCAGACAACTGCGTAGTGTAAAAAATACAGCATGAGTCTCATTAAACTGCCTGGTGGAGAAACTAGCAAGCGTTTGGGGGTGTCCTGCAGACCCTGCATGGAGGGACAGAAAAAGTCTTGTGAATAATTGAGACAGAATCAGCAATGCCCCAGGATGGAAGGCCTTCCTGTCCTGAAAAGAGCCAGTGCAGTCTGGCCTGGGGGTGGGAGGTGCTCTTCATGAACCGTAAGCAGGACTAACTCCTGATGTGCCCAACACCTGCAGCTTGCAGGACTGGCTATGCGGTTGGGCTGCTAGGACAGCCTCCTCACTCACACACAGGTTCCAGTGGCAGCAGTCTGGCCCTTTCAGCTTTTTGGGGAGATAACCTCTGTGTATCAAGCTTCCAGATTTAAAGTACAAACAAACGGAATAGCTATTATATAAAAAGTTGACTACTATAGCTGAGGCACTTTAAGGCTTTTCACAAGGCCAACTGATCACAGGAAAGCCTCGCTAACTGAGATCCCACGGTCTCAAAAAACACAATGAACATTCTTGTTTCATGCCTTCCAATTCTTCCTTTCGCCTTCAGGATAATGGTTTCTCTTCTGACAGTGCCTTTAAAGGCCTTGCCGAAGTGGCTACCTCGGGCCCTCTGCAGCATCTCCCAGCGTACACTCACTCCAGGCCCACCACCACTGCCTACCTGCAGGTGCTCACCTGGCTGTGCATACTGAGCTCCCCTGGGGCAGAACAGCGGAATCACACACAATCCCATGCAATCAATAAAGCTATTAAATGTCACTTATGCTGTGAAACGCCAACCCCGCCGTCTCAGGCAGGTCTCTCTGCAATTCACTTGTTTCCTTCCACAGTTAAAACAGCAAACTCCCCTGCCACATGCACAGCTGACCTCCCTGTGAGCAGGTGAGTCCTGTTCACCTCCCCGTGTCCCTGACTGCCCCCCAGATCAGGTCAGGCCCACTGTGGCACTCTCAACTGCCCTGATCACAGTTTATCACAAACACTTGGCTTGTCATTCCCAAGCTGAAGGTTTCTCCATCTCAGCACTAATCACAGGTGGGCTGCTTATTTTTTTGGGGAGGGGGGGCACCCTGTGCATCACAGGATGCTTAGCAGTACCCCCAGCTTCTGCTCATCAGAGACCAGTAGCACCACCCCCACCACTCCCCTCAGTGGTGGCAAGCAAAAATGTCACTGATATTGCCAAATGTCAGGAGGGACATGCGGACGACAGGCAATCACTTCTGGTTGAGAACCACTGCCCTAAACCAGTGCTACTCATAGCTGTGTCATCCTGCACCTGGATCTTGTTAGCAACGGACTCAGGCCTCACCCAGATCTGATGAATCAGAAATTGAAGATGGGAACCAGTCATTGGCCTTTAACAAGCTTTCCAGGTGGCTCTGATGCTCCCTGAAGGCAGGGTCCACTCCCTTGAGAGTAAGCCTGCTTATAGCTGGATGCCTGGCACCATGCCTGACTCGTAAGAGCAACTAACAACTGTGCTGACTGAATCAGCAGGCCTGACTGACTATGGAGGGGCAGCACGTGTTCAGGGACTGACGGGACTATCTGCTCTCTATCAAAAGGGGCACAATAAGCTTTGCGCTCCTGACAAATCATGGAACCACAGGTGTCAACACTGCTTCTTAGAGGCTGTGTGTGCATCATCTCTCCTACAAGGATGAAAATGCTGGAATCCCTTCCAAGATGCTTCCAGCAGGGGGCCACCTGGCCTTGACTTGAGTAACTTCAGTGATGAGGATTAATTTTCAAACCACAACCCGTTTCATTTTTAAACTCTGGGTTGTTAGATTGTTCTAAATGCTGGGCCCAAGCCTGCCTCCCTGAACTCCAGTTCTTAGCTGTGCCCTTGAGCAGCGCGGCTCCAAGTTGTTCAGGAAGCATGGAGCCCAGAAGTCAAGCTCCCTCTACTGAAAACCATTACACTTCAGTATACTTAGATCCATCAAGCCAACTAAGGATCATTTTACTTGCAGAAATTCATTACTTTCGATGTATCTGATAGCAAAAGATCACAATTAGGAGCCACAACAATAATAAAATCCTGTCAGATTACACATAATTCCAATTTGAGCACTTAGCGTATTTATTGTTTCATGTAGGCATTTGCTAGCACTCATCAGCAGATAAGTATTGGCAGGCACTACAGCCTTAAGAAAAATTATGGCCAAAATAGCCCGAAAGCTAACATTGATGAATTCTTTTAGGCTATAATTTGGGGAAAGGGCCACGAGTTTTAGTGGGAGAACCCAGTGTGTAGCTCATAAGTCCATGCCAGAGCCTTGGAGAAGTTCAGGGCTTCCGCCATGTCATGAGAGATGGGTGGCTTTGTCCACTCAGTCTCAGGGTACAGCCCCTCTTCCTATGACAAATTTTCCTGAGTCTGGGTCAAACTACCTTTAGGATTTTCTTCTATTAGCAGTTTATTTGTAAATAAGACTTTTAATTATAAATGACCCAATTAATTACCATGGGATCTCATCCAGAGATAAACAGGGCAAGAGATCCCTGGCCCCTGCTGGCCACTCTAGACCCAGCATGAGGAGATAGTGCCATGGCTGGGCTCCATCCATTGTCTTCAAGTTGACTAAGAGTTCAGCTCAGCAGCTCACTAGAAACCAAATGGACATCCCCCCTCCAACTCTACCCTGCCAACCTGTTACCTGAATTTGGTTTTTGTAGGCTTCTCTCACTCTCAGAATTTGTGTTGGTACTTCTCAACTAAAAATAATACATTCCCCAGTGTAATGGTCTCTGTTCTTAATCTCAAAAGCAAGTTCCTTGATTTTACATTTCTGCTTAGAAAAAAGGAATTATCTTTTATTTTTACTTGACTGTAACATAGATTAAATTTCCCCCATGGACTGGGGTCCTTTGATAAAAAAAAAAAAAAAATTCCCAGTTCCTTTATTAAAAATGTCCAAAAGATGGCTTTTGAAAACACTGTTAACACAAAGCTAAATTATGACACAGACATGAAAGTGATGGGCTCCTCTAGAATTCCTCTAGATAAGATAAATTCTAGATATTCCTCTTATCTAGAATTTAAAATGGCTTTCCCCTCACAAGGCTAAAGCAGAGACTTAGTTGAAAACAGAAAAATAACAACTAGAAAACACAGCCTTCAGATTTACTGATAACCTTTTCCCTAATCTCACCTGATAATTTCACTGTTCTCAAACTCTAAACTCCACCTCTCCTGTCCTCTATTGCAATTCTGATGGAAGAGTTCTACTTTTTCCTTAGACTTCCAATTTGCTTCAAACACACCCAACACGAAAATATATGAAAGAGGAAGGTAATGTTTCTTTGCTGAAGAAGTGTCTTCAGTCTCAGTGATTATTAAATATTAAGTATCACTTCTCAAAACTGTGACAATTTCAGATCAAAGGCAAAAAGCTCATCGGTCAGAGATAAACCTAGTAAGCACCACATTCCAGACCCGCCACTGTCCA